CAAAAAATCGATTTTTTTACAAGGACTTTAACCTTTTCATTTAAGAGGAATTGTTAAGTCTATTATTATGTGCTATGCTTTAAGTTTTCAAAAATGATTTTTCCTACGCAACATTAACTTTATTTGCAATTACTAATGATCCGTATCGCTCTCACAGATGAGGACGAACATGGGTGAAGATAAAGTTTGAAACAACCAAATAGCTTTATTGCTCTTTAAATTTAATTTTTATTTATATTTATCTTCAGACATTATTCAGTGGGTGGATAGGAGAGAAAGATTTAATGTAAATGTTTCGTTTGAAGCATCTTCAGGAAAAAGATGGCATAAACCAAAATAAAAATCAAAACAATTCTTTCATACTATGTTAATGAGTTTTTTGGGTCAATTTTGTATAAATTGTAAAACCACATCTGGCTTTGACAAAAAATGTCTCCTCTTTTTTTGAGAGACTTAAAGGAACGAATGTATGATGAAATAAAATGATTTTCTAATATTGCTTGTGTGAAGCTTGAATAATTTGTTTTATTAGATTTTTATGTTAAAAGATTTAAATTTTCTTTTATGTGAAAAATTGACTATTTTTCTAAATCTTCATTTATTGTTTATGAGTAATTTATTTTGAAAAATTCGATAGAAATTAATTTTGAAAATACGTTAACAATAAACCTGTTTAAGGTTTCACTGATAAAACTTACAGTTGAGAACGTTAAAGCTAAAGAGATTAATAAATAAAAGCTCTGTAAAGTTAAAATTTTACAAAATTTTTTAACCTATTTTGTCTTGTATAGTAATCATATTTAAAATTCTAAAAGGCAAATTCTCTGACTCTATAATTCTCATCACCATTTTAAAGCACAAGCATGAATAATGGAGTAGTATATTAAAAGAGCCACAGCAAAAAGGCAACAACAAGAAACTTTTTTCTGTTTTCCTTTTTTTCACTTTTTTGTGGCATTTTCAGCACACATTAAATACAAAAAGGAAGTGAAAACATGAAAAAAGATGAAGAAGGAGTGTCGGTACATACACAACAAGATTGTTTTTGCTTCTTCTTGTCTTATTTGTACTTATTTTTTATAACTCGAATTATGGAAGGCAAACATTAAACATTTACAACATCCGTCAACTTTGATCTGATTGTTTTACGTGCCACAACATGTTCCTCACTGCCCCAATTTTTCTACGTGCTAGGCTTTGAGTGTCTTTTTAACTGTATTCAAACTTAATTTTCTTACTTTATCATTTTCGTTGCCTTGATTCGAAAGTAATGAACTAAATGAGGACTCATCCAAAGAAAACACATCCTACGCATAGAGTGTAACCTTGAAGATTTGTAACGTAAAAGCTCGAGTGAGGAAAATGAAAAATGTCTTGAAATTTAGAATATTTTTTCAACGAGATAAAGCAATGCAATTATGAAAGAATTTTTCTCGAATTTTTATAAACTTATTCATGTTCTTACGTTAAAATTCAGATTACCTGCGAATTTATTTAAAAAGTATTTTTGTAGGCATTTTAACTAATCCAAATTGATTTCTAATCTTCAAAATATATTATAAAACATTGAAAATTAAATTATTAATGAAATTAGATTTTGCTGCATCTTAAGCTTGTCACAGCAGTTGAATAAGTTGGTATCCGTCCATAATTATTATTATTAACAAATTTTTCCAATCACGAAATTTCAACAAACCTTACAAGTCATAATATTGTTAAACGAAACATTTGTATTATTTATTATAAGCAATTCATTTAATTTTTACTGCCAATGATAATACCTGGTAATATGAAATGTAAAAATTTATCCCGGAAAACTAAGCCATTAAATTAGCTTTTATTTATTTATCGTAAAATCGAAACCGTTTTTGTGGCACGAGTTTCAGTAACATAAAGGAATAAAAGAAAATAACAGCAACAGCAATGTTAATTTTGTGTCGTACATGCAAAACTTTTGTGGGCTTTTTTTCACGACCTAGAAAACTGCATGAATTTCATTTCGTATCTGAATTTGAAGGATATGAATTACATTAACTTCTTTGTTTTTCATAGGACACAAACCAGACAACATAGCTATATTGAATCTTTAAGAGCTTGAAAAAAATGTATTGCTTTCAAGTGGATTCATGTGTTGCTCGGTCTACCAAACAAAGTCTAATTGTACTTAAATTTGTTAAATCCAAAGAAAAATTGTGACGGGAATAATTTGCCAACTTTAAATACTGTTGGCTTTACATAATGATACAAATTCATAGTCTGCCTTGTATGATAAATTTCCTTTCCATTCTTCTTCGTTTTGTATCATTTTGATTTTTGAAGAGAATTACTTTTCATTAAATATAAACGCTGAGATTGATGAACATTATTTTGACGGATAATTAATTTATAGAACAATAAAATTAAGAAGCTTGTCAGACAACTACGGAAAGTATTAAATTTTTCATGATTACTTTTTATGTTTGACATCTTGAGATCCTTAACAGATGCTGTAAAGTCATTTTAATATCTCTTAGTTCATTTCAATCTTAATAATTTTATTGAGAAGTACAAGCTATAAAGGAGCAATTTTCAATATTTTCTAATTCGAATGATATCTCTCAAAAGTAAGGGAAGTAAAAATATTTTTTACAACGAAACACAAAATTGCTGCAAAGCACTTAAATATACTTAAATATTCCTTACATCATACAGCTTCAATCAATAGCTCATAAAAAATATTAAATAGTATTTTTTTTTATGATGAAAATAAGAAGAACAAAATCAATTTTCAATACAACGATGAGGAGTCAAAATCAACAAAGCAAAGAAGAATTGAAATAATTCTCCATAAGGAATAAATAAATTTGCCATATGTTACGGTTAAGTTATATTTTTTATTGTTCGTTTGAAAAGCAATAACCAAAAAAATGTGGAAATTTTTAAATGATGATCATAAAAAAACGATTAAAGTTTTAAAATTGCCCAAAATAATTTTTAACAATGCATCGAGCCATTCTAAGAGCTCGACCAATTCAATCAATCAAAGCCGTAATTTAAATTTTATGCGCCCTTAAAAACTCATAAACTCTGGCCACAAAATCTCGAACTTTCAGAAACTCTGATTGGAGTTGAAGTTCAATCTTAGAAAATCTTAGTTAAAATTTGGTTTATAGCTGTGGTATCACAATTGATAAAGGTTATGTAATTTAAACATTCTTGAATACAAACATGCCAATTATTTTTAAAATTTCAATAAAATTTATCTTTACAAATGGAAATGATAGGATAAAATAAAATCAATTTAAAACCAAAAAACGTAAGGAAACCAAAAATAAATATTTTATGAATTTCTTGCATTTCATTCCTTTTTTCAAAACTCACAGAAAAACTGAAGATATAAAAATAGTGGAATGAAATTTATGGCATGTAGACGTCGATAATAATGCCAACGTACTTACTATAGAAAACAAATTTTATTGTATTTTGCAGTCGTACACATGAAAGCACACGTTCACAATGTAACAATGTATCGATGCTTACAGCTTTTACCGATTATCTTTTATTACAGTTTTTTTATCCTGATTTTTCCACTTTAGATATTTCAGATATGTTGTGGATTTAAAATATCAAAGATATTGAATATTCTGTTACAAACCAAAAAAAAATCTATCAATGATATTTAAAATAAAACGTTGAGTTAAATCCTTCCACAAACATATTTCCATTAATTTCTATCAAATTTCATCCCCTTAGAACTAAAATAGTAATTTTTAAATTTAAAATGTAACCAGACGCGGTCTGAATGAGCTTATTTAAAAGATATATAACTCATGGTTTTACAAGTCGTTGATTAAACATCATCAAGCTTTCCAGGAAATCGAACGCTGCAATAAAAATAACATGAATCGTTATCAAGCCAATATAATATCTTAATCTCGAATTTTTTCAATATTTATTTCCATCTTGGGATTAATATAATTTATATGAAGTTACTTCTTAATTTAAATATTATTTTTATTATTATTATTTTTTTATTCATTGTAATTTTATTTGAATCTTAAATTTAGAACATTTTACCATTAAAACGTTAATTTTTTTATTGTTTAAATGCTATATTTTCATAGCATACATTCTCATAGAAAATGTCGATATGTGATGGAAATAAAATAAAATAAAATGTTGTTTCTTTGGTGCAAAACTTTTTTCCTCACAATTTAAACATAAAATTCTGTGCAGTAAATAAAAAGTTTCCAAGAAGAATTGCAAAAAAACATCCAAGCAAGAAATTCTTTGTCTTTCTAGACGAGAAACAAAATATGTGGAAGTAATATGAACCACAGAAACAGACTGTACATATTTTTTTTTTTGTATTTCATCTCCTCGACTGTAAATACCTTAAGAGCATTATTTGAATTCAAGTCTACTCATATATCCACCATACCAATACTTTTGAAAATTTAAGTATCTCTTTAAAGCTTTTTTACGATTACTTTTCAATGAAAATTTCTCTCATACCGGTACGTGAGTTAAATATTATCATTTTTTATTCATATAATATTGCAGTACTGTTGCTCCAGCAAAAGATTTTCAAATATTAAGAAAAATCTAATTTAAAATTGAAAATTTTTCTATATTTAATTGAAAGCACTTAAACCGCTTTAATATGTAATCTTGAAGGAATCCAAATTTAATTAAAAAACTGTACATTTTCAATAAAGAATTTTGTGTGGTCTAGGTTTAAAGTTAACCTCAAATTTATTAAGGCATTATCCTTAATTTAGCAATATGAACTCATGTCAGTATATAAAACATATATCTTGTTCAATTTTATTTTTGATTGGCATTCATTTGGGATATTTTGAAATCAATATTTCTTTGGAGGGTTGTTAAAAGCAAGAATGATTCTAAAGCCTTTATTCAATTTTATTTAAAATATGAGCCAAAAAGATAATACTGATTTTATTCTTGTCATTTTCAAAATCATTATAATTCTAATGAAATTTATCTTTTAATATTTGCAGACTTCCATAATTTTTGTTAACGACTCGTGGCCAAATTCTGAAGTCCTACCAGCAGACACAAATGAAAATGATACAGAGATACCTGATGCTCTATCATCTCTAACAATCTGCTTTGTAGGTAAGTGAAAACTCTATTTGCTTTTGAATTCTTAATGAAGCAAATTAGAGGATTGCCATTTAAAAAGAGAAATTTAACATTATTTATTAAATTAATAAATTTGCTATAGATACTTAAAATTCAAAAACTTCAATAGGATGTAACTTTTATTTCTGAACAACTATACTGATTCCATTAAAATGTTTCCCAATAAAATACAATTTATTCCAACAATCATGATCCAAAGCGTTGTTCTTTATTGAAATGATAGACATTCTGACTTTTATTGAAAATTTTTATAACCTCCAAGTCAAAAAGTTTCATTGGGAATCAATTCATATTTTCTTTACTGTATTGAAATAATTTTTTATTCAAATTTTATTCATTCTTCTTATTCATTCTTAATGGAATTTTTTTTTTATTTTAAAGGATCATTTCTAGCACTTCTTATCTTCCTTTCAATTGCGGGTAATATTCTCGTGTGTATTGCCATTTATACTGAACGTAGTCTTCGACGAATCGGCAATCTTTTTTTGGCTTCTCTTGCCATTGCTGATTTGTTTGTAGCATCTCTTGTGATGACATTTGCTGGCGTGAATGATATTTTAGGTAAGAACATTCATTTATATATTTTATTGGAATTTAAAATTATGATAATATTGATTATTTAAGCTTATGGTTGTGTTTATTAAATAATTGTAATGATGATTTAAGTTAAAAGTATGAAGAAAATTGTTTGTAACTTCATTGAATTTCCCAACTGAATCATGCTAATATTATGCAAATATTTGAACAGCACCATACCAATATATGTGTATTGTGTTGATTCCCTTGGAGATAAAATCATAGAAGTTGACAGTTATTTACATAATTCCTGAAAATTCATTTTCGTTTATAAAAAAATACTCTATCGGAGGTTGTCAAAATCATAAATTTGTGTTGAAAGCTTTCCATTCAACTTTTTACATTTTATATTCCAAGTCAATATCAGCTCACACATATCACATCTTTTTGTTATCATTCACAGGATATTGGATTTTTGGTGCTAAATTTTGCGATACATGGGTTGCATTCGATGTCATGTGCTCAACAGCATCAATATTGAATTTATGTGCCATTTCACTGGATCGCTATATACATATAAAAGATCCATTAAGGTAATCAAAGGAAAAGGGAAACCAAAAATTATTTTTTATGTGCAAATGTTTTTCAATAAGGAAGGAAAATATTTATGATAATAAAACAAAAAACAATTCTGATTTTTTGTTATGTTTTTTTAGATTATTTCTAACAATTCCTTCAACACAATTTAAAATTAAAAAAGTTTCACCCTAATGCAATTAAAGAATTTTTTTGTTAAAGAAACTTCCAATGTTAAATTATTTGTACTTCGTAAAATTTAAATTAAATTTTTTCCTCCTCATTTATGTTAAACTCTGTAGATATGGACGGTGGGTAACGAGGCGTATAGCTGTGGGGACGATTGCGATTATATGGATTCTCGCTGGTTTCGTTTCATTTGTGCCAATTTCATTAAATTTACATCGTCCAGATCAACCATTAATGTTTGATAAAGACGGAACTGAGTATCCAACGTGCGCACTTGACTTAACGCCAACATATGCAGTTGTATCGAGTTGTATAAGTTTTTACGTTCCATGTATAGTAATGATAGGTATTTATTGTAGGTAAATATCTCATTATGAAGCTCAAATATATTGATTATCGACATGAAGTTATTAATAGAAATTTTTTCACTTCTCTTTTCTTATTTCTTCTGCTTTACAATTTTCTACATGAATTTCCTTCAATTTTGTTATTTTTCTCATTGTTATCCGTAACGATTACCTTTTTGTATGTCCATCTAACCCTATAAATGCATTCACACGCACACAAAAAATTCCGTTACTGTTTACTATCGATTTTATTGTATAGACTATATTGTTATGCCCAGAAACATGTACGGTCTATAAAGGCTGTAACAAAAGATCCCTGTGAAATAACGGAAAAGAGATACCGAAGTATTAGACGCATTAATAATAAGCCAAATAAAAAACTGAAAATGCGAAATTTACATCATTCGTCACCATATCACGTATCGGATCACAAAGCAGCAATCACTGTAGGTGTTATAATGGGTGTATTTCTTGGTAAGTTCAAAAAAATAATAATAATGTATCCAACAAAATAATTTCTTTGCGATTCTCGCCTGTTTGTTTTTATTTATTTTTTCCTTCATGTTTTCGTAATTTCATGTTTATTTCATTTGATATATATTTTTACAGCTGAGGCTGGTTTCTTATAGCTGCTTATAACTTGTATTTTGTCCATCTTTGGTGAATCTTTGTAATAAAATGTCATTAAATTTTATTTTATTTCTTTGTTACATATAATAAAATTCGCATTATGTTTTATTGCCAAAGCCGTGATGTTAAAAGACCTAAAGAAGTCCTATCTTAAAATTATTACCTAAACTTGATATCTAAGGTTTTTTTCACTGATTTTAAAATTTATTGCATTCATGTCCTTAGAGCTGTGAAAAAGGAATTTAAATTAAGCGTTCATTCTATCTTATTTGCTAGTAAATTCTATTTTATTCATGCTTAATGCATCGTTGCAACGAGAAGTTAGAGAATTAATAAAGCCCGAAATAAAAATAACAGTTCGTGAATATTATGAAAGTAAATTATTTTAAATTTTGAATGGGTTTTAAGTTTTAAAAATTCATATACAAACAGAAAAATGTTGGAAATACTCCAAATAATATGCTCCATGTTCATTCATATTACTACTTTAAGTATCGTGTCGTTTTACTTTTTCATCTTGAAAACACGTAATTCAAATAAATTTGAAATGACTGCAACACACTCGAACGATAAAGTCGATATATCATATGGAATTACTCTTCTGATTTTTCTCTATATTCTTTTTATTCATGACAATATGTGAAAAAGTTCTGTATAGAAAGGTTATGGAGTCATGATCTTTAGTAAATATTGAAATAAAATACATTTCTATCAGGTAGACTTGTAAGGAGCTTTTGTCAATAAAGCATCTAAGATTTCATGTAAGTTTCTGTGAAGCAAAGTATCAAGTTGATGTCTTGTTCAATTAATTTGTCTTTCATTAAAAATTCCTTTTGAATTAAACTTTTCAAGGTAGATTTACGTTTGCTTGAATTCTACAGCACTTAAAATAAATTTATTGAAAATTCGATTGTAACTCGAATTTGATCTAAAAACAATTTCATTTTGTGGTCAATATCAATTTCACAATACTTCTGGATAAAACTTTCGATTAATTTACCATAAAGGAAGCTTTCGAGCATGTCATAATACAAATCATCATAGTCAGCTTTAATGGTGGTAATAACTTACAAATTCGTATCACATTTGCTCATCAAACATGCTCCTCACATACGTCATTACTGTTATTGTTATTACAAAAGGAGCTTAATTTAATTCATTTTCATGTAGCGAAGAAAATGTATGAAGAACTGGGCATATGGAAAATTTATACATTTTGTAGCTTGAATTTGATTGTATATTTGTGATTACTACCTCACATTCATTTAATGTCGCTCGAAATGAAATTGAATTTTCATGCACATTTATTTAAATCAAAAATGAATGGAATGATTATGGAAATTAAAAATGAGGAGAAGCAATGTATGCGTAGAAGTAAATGTAGCTTTATAAACAAGAATGGAGGGAAATAAGTTAATGTAGCAAAAAATATTTCCGTTTATGTTTTTTTGTCGTTTCGACCTTCACATTCATTTGGTAAAAAATGAGAGAAGCATAACAAGTGATATGGTATGCCTATAAATAAATAGTATGCATTCCTTCTCCACATGATTTCGAGTTAAAGCTTTTTTATATTCATTTAAGGATAGGCTTTGAATTCATAATGTTTTCCATGTTCTATGAAATCAAATTTATATGATTTTTGTATTAGCTTCGTTTGACTACTCAATTCAAACTTGAGAATGATTTCTTGACTTCTAAATAAATTTTAATTAGAATCCTTAAATGTCAACATTACAACCAAGTATATTCTGTATACATCACGCAATCTCCTTGAACTTGCGAAAACTCATTCTCATGACTTTTCTTATCGATTTTTATTTCTACTATGCCACATTTTATACAGTTCTAACGACAGTAAAAAGTTACTAATGATATTCATACTTTATTTTTTTTTTCTCTTTTTCTATTGTACCATCCTGTTACTCAACAAAACATGCGATACAAATGACAACCAGTGTGTTGGGTACCATTTTTCTGTGTCAATATTGTGGCAGCGTTTTGTAAAACATGCATCGGTGGTCAAGCCTTTAAAATTCTCTCTTGGCTTGGCTATTCAAATTCAGCATTCAATCCTATAATATATTCAATCTTTAATACGGAATTTCGTGCGGCATTTAAACGAATTTTGACCACAAAAGCGATTTGCTGTGCAGACGATTTAAATTATCATTGTCGTAATTCTGAGAGATTTGTGACAGATTATCAATCAGCAAAATGTTCTCACATACATTCGGGTAGGTCATCAGCAGATTTGGAACAAGTGTCAGCTATTTAGTACAGGCAAGTGACGATTCATTCACCTATAGAATCTTAAATAAATTTAACTTTAGTTTTAATTTCACAAAATTAACAAACTTTAAAGAAATTTTGCACATAACTATTTATAATTTTTTGATGATAAATTTAAATTTTAGATGAAATTTTAAAATTTATGGTGAAGAATGTTTATTGAAATTGACAATTTTTTCATCAAATTAAAATTTGAGGAAAATCAAAATTGCTCCATCAAAAATCTCACAGAATGTCAAAAATTATTTCAAAATTTAATTTTGAAAAAGTTAACAATTTCTGTCTACACATCCTCACATAACTCAAATTAAGTAAATTGAACCTAGCAGTAAATTATGTATGGACAAATGTGAGTGTAAAAAAATTGAAAAATAAATTTATAAGAAAAGAAGTGAACATAAAGTAGCTCGAATATAGCAATAAAAAATTCTCAATCTTATTAAAAATATAAAAACAAAATACTGCAATTTTATCTTAAACAAATGTGAATAACTTTTTTTAAATTTAGAAGAAGAAAATTAAAAATAAAATTGAATGAAATTTGTTGAAATTAAATGAGAAATTAATATTTTAAGTTGATGACATTTTATGACATTTATTTATGAATTATATAAAATATTGAATTTATAAAAATTGATCATTTTGTACGTGCTTTAATATTTAATTTTTAAAATAGAATTATTATGAGCATCAACTCTGAAAAGTTCAATTGAAGCTAAACCAGATGTGTATCTTTTAAGCTACACGATTGCCAATTTGTTAAAATTAAATTTGTTGACTTATTTTTAATCCTATCTCAAAATCCTAAAAATTATTACTATTATTTTATCTGCATATATACTCAGAGCATGAGGGTTCATACTCCACGCGCAAACATTCAATGATTTTAATCTGCTGTCCCTTTTTGTTGTATGAATGAACTTTCATTATATAGAAAAAGAAAGAAAAGTTATTATCATAGATGATGTTCATTATGCAGATCAACGGTACATGCTGAAAATTTTCTCTGTTTTTTTGTCTCACACGAGTATTAATTACTTTATTTTGAATATTCACATGTATGTACATTTCGGTCCCTTTTCTGCCATTTACGTTTCATCACTTTCGAGCTGAATGATTATAAAGCAGACATAAAATATGTCTGAAAGTCCATTGCTGAATAAAATAAAAAAAGATCTAATGATAATGTGAGAATGGTGAATTTCAACAGTTGGATACCCATGTGATGTGGGAGTAATGTGTATAAGAGGTTTTTGGGATATATATTACATAACAAATGAGTTTTATAAAAGCATTTATTATTTACCAATTTTATTTCTATATTAAGGACATTACGAATTAGTTTTGAGCTTCAAATATAGGTAATCATCCAAAAAAATAATTTCACAAATGAATGCACAACATAAGATACTCAACTAGAACAACAAGCTTATAGTGTTTAGAACAATGTAAAATTTCATAATGATAGGTAGCTAGGTTACAAATCTGTCCTAATTTAACGTATTTATGAATAAGTAAGTATATTTCATTTCCATTCAATAACCCAAAAAATCTTCTTTGAAGCTTCTACCTGTATTTCCAGAAAACATTCTGCTTCATTTAATATTCGTAATGATTTTTTTTTCATCAAATGAAAATTTGTTTAAATTGGGGATTGAAATGATAATCTAATAATAGAAGATATGGAATAACATTATGTAAATATGATTTTTAATGATGGAGATAGGAAAAATATGATAGGAACTATGAAATTCAATGTTGTAATTTTTTTTTCTATTCAAATGGAATATTCACATGAATAATTTGCTTAATTACTATAAAAACTCTCGCTTCAACGGAAAAGCTTTTAACGTAATTATTTGAGTGCTAATATTTTTTTAAAAGAGGTCTGTAACACATATATGATGTAGAAGATTAAATATTCAGTATTAATTAAACTTTTTAAATTCAATCATTTCAGAAATTAAATAATTATTAGAACATTTACATTTCTGTTCTACTCTTTTTGATTCATTTCTGAATGCTGGAAAAAAATTAAATTTGCTTTTTTTGAACAATTCTAATTTATTTTATTTTCTTTTGTAATTTTGTAGAATATTTCAAAACTTTGTTGCATTCATGAATCATTAAATTGGAATAAAACTTTTGCCAATAACATTTAAAAACTAAAACTGAAGATTACAACTACTTTGGGAAATTAGGAAATATATGTCTCATGCGTTCGTGAACATAATTTATTGATTATTTTATGAGCAAGCTTGTAAAAATAATTGACCTAAATACAATATGCCTGTTACTTGAATAAATTGGGCTGCAAATAAATTCTATAATAAAAATTGGAGCAAAAAGTTTCGTCAATTTCCTTTTCATTTCAAGGTAATGTCTAGAAACGATACATTTGATTAATTAACAAGTAAATTGAGTTAGGCTTTGTTGCTAAAATTTTTCAAAAAAATATTTCCAGCAAAAATAATTACACGGAAAAGGATTAGATATCTATTTCAAAACTGGTCCTTTTTCATTCAAAACTTTTGGTCATACTTAAATTTCCGAGATAATGAACATGATATTGTAGACAGCCACAATTTTCAAAGACATGGGAGACTGTTCAAAAAAAAGTTTGTAATTTTAAGTTCAAGTATCTTTAGCTTTTATTGAAAAAATATTCAGCAATGGAATTTGCAAACAAAAAATAAAAATTCAGTAGAATTCATTTAACATTTCGATTAGAGCTTAAATTAAATTTAAAATTAATATGTTTCTAATTAATTTAAAATGCTCAAATTAAAAAAGACTGATTCGTTAAAAAAAGAACAAATGAAAAATCATTGATAAAGCATGACACGCTCTTCTCATCTGTCTTTCGTAGCTTGAGAATAAAAAGATATTTATCTAGACTAATATTAGGAAAAATCAATGAGATTGAAAGAGGAAAGAAGATACAATAAATGAAAATTGTTTTAATATAAATTAAAAATTTATTTTCAAGAAAATTCGAGAGGTTTGAAAAATTTAAAAAATTCATCAACACTAATAAATTCAAAATTATAATTGGGTTGGATTACATCACGTATTATTAAAATTGTTATCCTATTCTTAAGTTTAAAGCATTTTTTCATAACCCAATAAAAAAACAATTATAAGATGCCAATATAAGAAAATCTTAAACTAGTTTAAACAATAAAATCTCTTTTCGATAAATCAACCCCTGAAATCCATCTTTCATCTATCCAAGAAACAATAAATAATTCCTTTTTATTTTCTTTTTGTAAAAGAATGATGAAAAAAATACGTGAAAAGTAAACAAAAAGAAAAACTCTACTGAAACCTTTAAATTATTGTGAAAATTAAATAAAAGTCTAGTTTTCACTTTAATTTGCTTTTTGTATACAAATTGTTTTAAGTATCGACAAATGCAAAATGCTCAAAATTAAAAAAAAAGTTTGCATGATCTTTACAAAAGCAATATCTGTTGAGCAACTGAACAATGAATGCAGAAAAGCTGTCTATTATCGTCGTTACAAATGCAATAATCCCAAATTACTTCTCAACAAGTTTAATACAAAAATTGTCTTTAATATACTTAGAAATACACTAGAAGATAAAATCATCTCTTCTGTATAAGAAGACTCTCAATTACGTTAAATAAGCTTATTAAAGTCATCAAACCAATCAGTTTTCCTTCTCTTTACTATCCACTTTAGTAAAAGCTCACAATGCATTATGGGGCAAAATGAAAAAAAAAGGGACTTTCACTTTGAAAAATGGACTTTTCCGATTTACACTTTTTGGGTGATTTTTTCTTGTAGAGGACATAAAAGTAGATAGAAATGCCAAATTTCAGGTCATTTGGTGCTGATTTCGCGATTCTAGAGCTGTTTGAAGTTGAAAACTAGTGAAAATTCTGGTTTTTTCATACCATGTTTGAACCGGGAAATATCTTAACTGGTTTAAGATATTGCAAAACGGTTTTCAGTTCCTATTAGTAGTATATAAGAGCTTTATTTTGACATATAACAAAGTTTAGGTTCTGAATGTTTTCGTGCCATTATGGTAGAACATATGTGAAAATTTCAGGAAAATTATCTTCAAACAAGCCGCAACTATCATAAATGAAGAGTTTCCAGGCAAGTAAAAACGCAGTTTTGTAGCCCCATATATCTAGTTTTCAAAACTGTATAAACTTTGAAAAAGTAAGCTAACGTAATTGAGTTATGTTGATTTTAGTAGGTCGTTGAGTATTTGGCCAAAAACTAATAATTCTTTTAAAAATACGAAAACATAGTTTATATACTACTAATAGGAACTGAAAACCGTTTTGCAATATCTTAAACCAGTTAAGATATTTCCCGGTTCAAACATGGTATGAAAAAACCAGAATTTTCACTAGTTTTCAACTTCAAACAGCTCTAGAATCGCGAAATCAGCACCAAATGACCTGAAATTTGGCATTTCTATCTACTTTTATGTCCTCTACAAGAAAAAATCACCCAAAAAGTGTAAATCGGAAAAGTCCATTTTTCAAAGTGAAAGTCCCTTTTTTTTTCATTTTGCCCCATAGTGCAATGGATAGAAAATTGAAAGAAAAAAAAAGAAAAAGAAAAAGCATCAAATTAACAATAGTTGGAAGCACAAAAAAGAGATATATAAAAGCAAAGCAAAAAGGGACTCGGTGTAGAAAAGTTCCAGTACAAATATTATTCTTTCATCACTTCAAAAGGCTCAAGTCTGAATGTCGGATAAATTATTCATGTTCTTTCTGCTATCATCACAAATGTAATGTAGATGCGAATATGTATGTGCAAGTTTGTGTAAGTGAGAGCGAAGAGGATAAATTACCAACAAATATTTCTAAATTGAATCCATTTACCATTTTTTTATCTATCCATAGACGGATATCATTCTTCTTCTGTCCATTAATTTATCAATCATTCACTTTTTCCTCTTTTTGATGATTACTTAGTAGGACGAGACAAATTGATGAATGAATGAAATAGTTTTTTGATTGAGAAGTCTTCTTGCTGCCTAATTGGATTCATACTTAGGAGTCATTCACTTCTTCTCAGTGATCTTGAACATGTTCAGATTTTTTTGCACTGCTTTTTAAACCAGGTTATTAAAGGATTGGAATTATTCATTTTTTGGACGTCTTATATCTTTTGATGTCTCCGAAATTTCATTTTACAAGAAAACCTCTAAA